CTCTCTCTCTCTCTCTCTCTCTCTCTCTCTCTCTCTCTCTCTCTCTCTCTCTCTCTCTCTCTCTCGGTTTCCAAGAAGTTAGTACCTTGGGAGCTTTGAAGGAGAACTTGTGTACATAGATCAATGGAAGCCGCCACTGCAGCACAACCATGGACAACTGCATGCTCTCCACAAAGGATGATCTTACCTGGAGCCCTCGCCCTAATCTCCATTAATGTCATCTCTCCTCTCTCTCTCTCTCTCTCTCTCTCTAGGTCACCGACTCAAGCTTCAACAAAACAGAGAAAACGGAATAAGAATGTATGGTATACTCCTGCCACCCACACACAAGCTCTCTTTCAAAACGCAGTTTGTTCTCTCAACTGTACGAGACTCTGCTAGTTCGGCCAAGTATAATGTTCAACGTTTAAAACGAGTTATATTCACTTTGGTGGTCCCATTCTCGCGCTCCAAAATTTTGCCTTTTTTAGTCAAACGTTTAATACAACTTTTTTAGAAAAAATAATGGGAAAACACTATATTTTGATGAAAACATTTAAGACGAGTTATATTCACTTTTTTAATAAAAATGAGTGAGAATAACTTTTCCATTCCTTACATCTAAATTACAAATTTTTTTTAAATTAAATATCTTTTTCTATTTTTAAAAGGATTTTAACAAATTGAATACCATTTTTTATTTTTAACGAGAGCATATATGAGACCATTTACCTATTGTACAATATGGTCACAATTGTTTATAACCATCGGAGGTGAAATTTGACAGCATGTGTGATAAAGTTCGAAAATAAAAATTTTAACCTTTGTGTTTGGTCAATGAAAATTGTAGTATTATTTTTCTAAAAAAAATACATTTCCTACCGAAAAGAAAAAAATTTGTATCCTCAAATATTGAGTTTATCTCTACTACCATTTTAGGGTTTTGGCTATTAATCCATGCTGCTTGATCCCTAAATTAGGGTTTCTTTAATCATACCTGAAATAGACAACTATCCGGTTTGCAGTGTTGCTACCCTTCTCCCCTCAAAAATAGAAAGAAGGAAACCCCATTAACTAGTTCGCTACAAAACTCGCTTAGGGTTTCATTTTACATGTAAGAGAAAATCCATATCAGGGTTTAATCCCAATAGCTTTGGGCAAATCCCCTATTTGATATGATTTTCTAGTTCTCATATTGCATTATGGCGATGAAGAAGAAGTGAAACTGTGTGTTGATTTTCTGGTTCTCACCTCTCCATACAATTTTGTTGGGGGTATGCGGTCATTAAAGGCATTATGAGTGCTTGTAAAAGATTTATATAGTAGAACATAAACTCATTAGGAGTGTGATCCTGTGTGGATCATACTAAGCAAACGATGTTTGCTGATACTGAACTGTATTTAACGTGTTAGGTCAGTCTAGTTATGTTAGCTAGACATAGAGAAACAAACCGATGAATGTTAGATGTGTTATCCCTTGATGAGCTCGGAGTATGCTCAGAAGAATGAGCCACGAGACTATACGATCATTGTGTGTGATGGAGGCCTTTTATACCATCACACAATATGCATATTGATAGCCATTTTCAGGAAAGCGAATCACCTTTCAGGATGAAACGTGTACATATGCAAGAGATAGCCCATGTGCACCATCGAGTAATGGATTGCATCAGGTAAGGATGATCTTGATTTCATCTTCAAATGAGACCTAAAATTCATATACTGGGATTGCGATCCTTTGTCTATTGACTAGACTTTGGTGACCCACTAATGATCCCCTGCATTGACTGTGGGTCATGGGCAACCCTTGGTCGGTTTGAGAAAGTATGTGTAGTTAGTTTGCAGTTGGACATATAGTACCCCCGTGGATATTTATTCCTAGACTATATGGATCATTTTCCCATTAAAGTATTTAATTTTGTTTATTTTAATAATATATTATTTTTATAATTGTTATTTGAATTTTTTTGAATATCTGGATATTTTATTTATCAAAATTGAATTTATAAAAATAGAGAATGAAACTTCTCTCTCATCCTGGAAACTCTCCCTCCTATAAAAAAAACCTTAAGGGGGGCACGCCCCACTCTATCTCTCTCATGGTTGCTCTCTTGTCTCCCATCATCTCTCATCTCACAATGGGGCTAAATCTATAGGGTGTGGTAGAAAGAAAAGCTTTTATCTCAAACTAGTTTATCAAGGGGGTTCACCTAGCTATTGAATTTGTGATCAAAGGAGTTCATATTCCATTGGTGTGATTTGTTCAAAACTTTCTTTCTCAATTGAGATTGAAGGTTGATCATTATATCCCGCACTATCGAAAAGTGGTGACTTAGTGTGGGGTATAAGAAGCCTAGTTGAGGTAATTTCCGTCACCATCGTTTGTTTCTTGTTTATTTGTTTATTGCTTTTTTCATTCCTACGCATAGGTATTGTTTTTTATTTGTTATTGAAAGAAAAGTTTTTAAATGGCTTCAAGTCCTTGAGATCCTATTGTATTATTATTTTTATTTTATTTGCAGTTATTATAATGTAAAAAGACTTACTTTCGAGTGATCTAGGCCGTGAAGAAAAGAAAAAGAATTTAAAAAGAAAGAAAAAAAAGTATTATATACTCTAGCTAGATCACACGAGTTCTTTCATTGGTATCAGAGCTATTGATACTTGTTGCCATTAATAGTAATTTCTCTTTATTGAATCTAGATCTAGCTTGAGATTGAGATATAAGAAAGTTAATGACTTTGGTAGTCAAGTAATACACATTCGATTAAGAATTATTGGTATATTCAAATATCAAAAAAGCACTTTGCAGAATGGGTATTTTGTGCTATTTTGGAACAGTGATATGAAAAAAATATGATGTATTTTTCTATTGCATACTTCAATGATATTATATGTTTTTTATAAAGGCAAGCTTTCTATGCTTCTCCTACAACATAAAACTTATATACTTCCCCTTATTCAACCGTCCATTCTGAATAAAGGGCTAACATTGCCCCAAGCGCAATGTCATGTCTTTACACTATTTTATTTTTAATTTTTTCTATAAACTATTTTGACACCAAATTTTGTATGTCCATTCTTCTATTAAACTTACACTAGATAAAATATAAAAACAATATTTTCAATAAAATAAAATGACCAAAATACCCCTGAAAATTTCAAAGGGTATTTTGGTCATTATATTTTATCGAAAAATTATTTTTGATACTTTTTATAGGTGCGCCCCAATGAAAAGATAGGACGTACCAAATTTCATATTCATACAATTTGTATAAAAAAAAATTAAAAATAAAATACTTTGAAACATCAGATCTAAGATCAAACAGTGAGTGGCTATCTTGATCAAAATTGGATGGCTGGATGATAGGGGGAGGATAGAACTTCTATGTTGTAGGAAAAGTATAGAAACCTTTCCCTTTTTATAATAGTATCTACCTGCAAAATTTCAATAGAAAATCCTAGAGGAATTGAGAGATATAGACTCATCAATTATGACCTAACAAAATCCAAGAACTGGCCATTGAGTTCCATAAATTTTTTCACCAAGCATATGATTTTATTTTTAGGCAAAATTTGACTGTAACTCATAAAATTAAGTCTACTTTTAAATAAAAATAGTTTCATGAAGAAACTCCTTGTGGTTTGAAAGATATCATCATTTTATTGAAAGGTGCGCAAGTGTTATTTTTTGCAACGAAAACTGTTTCAAAGATTTGGAAGTCATGATTTTATTTCTATTTTTAACATAATATTTTATATCCCACACTAAGTTTTTAGACTTTCATTTTGAATCTAATTTCTAATAAAATTTATTTTAAATAGAAATATCTATGGAAAAATAGGAATAAAAATTTTGGATTAAAGAGAGGTCATCTGGAATTTTCTACAATTTGGTGAGTTCTTCATTAAGATATGAATAACTATATTTATCAAGCATACTTAACAGAGTAAGCATACTTAATAGAATGATATGAGGCTTGTGGAAACATGCATTACCATTCTGTATCTACTTTCAAATAAAATTGGTTTGAAAGGGAAACTCTATGAGGGTAGAGAGAAAAGACAATTTTACTAGATAGTGTTCATCTTAGAAATTCCGCAGTATGATTTATTTTGTGATGTGAAAGTCACATATTTATTTATCTGAAGAAAACTATTATTTAGGATTCACACTATGTTTTTATGTCTAGTTTTCAACGCAAAAGATTTCAGGATGAAATTATTTGATGATTGAGAGAAACAAATTTTTTATTGAGAGGTGCACAACTTGATTTTCTATTGAGAAAGTTGTATTGTGATATGAATGTCACTAAATCGTAGCCCCACTAAATGGTGTGATTTAGGGATTGAACTGAGCACTATTTTGTATTTTGAGCCTGTTTCAATACTTCAAAGGATTCAGAAATAAACTCTTTATGAATTGAGAGTTATTATATTTTTATTATGGGATGCTCATGTTCTATTATGCAATAAATTAAAAGATATGACATATTAATGCACATCTTTAGATTCCTTATAATGGAGACCTTTTTAAGGCTTATTTAAAAGTTTTATTGTGTGTCATGAGTTGGTTTATAATAGTAAAACTTTAAAGAGATGTAATACAGAGTTGGCGAGATATGACACTCTATGTAAAGAGTGTTCAATATGAGAATAACAGAAAGAAGAAGAAACACAATACCTATAAAAGCATCTTAGTTTTTTCAAAATCAATGGATATATAGAGAGACTTGGTGGTAGTATAGAAACGCTAAACATCAGTGAGAAAATCAAATTTATAATATTTGAAATAATGGGATGAGGAAGAATATTTCTTCACGGCGTGAGAAAAGGAGAATCTAAATGCCGAAGAGATGGACACTTCGTAACGGGTAAAACTGATAACCAATAAATTCTCCATCAATTGCGTGCTCTTCCAATATCTCAAAAACTAGTCTACAAGAAAGAGTAAAGAATCAAGAAAGCCTAGGTACCACACTACATAATTTTGAGGGATGAAATCTATCCCACCTTACATAATAAAGTTATATCGGGAAAGATGATTTAGTAACCTCTTATTTTATGTTTCATATAATTTTTTGGTTATATTTTGGCTATTTATTTTATTAATATATATAGAGCGTATGGACATTAGGTGATATGTGCTAACAAATTTAAAAAAGTTGGTTTATGAACACCATGTGGTTTTATGCCTCATTGTGTTTGAATATGAACTACTTAGTAATACACATCGAGATGTGGTTTGATCAATGACTATGATCTTAAATATGAAACACGAGAGATGAGTTCGGCTCATTTAAATATGTAAGCACCACAACCATACTATTACCTAACTGTTGCTTGTGAATGTATATATATACCATGTCAATAGCATTTTGATTAAAGAGAGAAACATTGTATCTTAAAGGTATTTATAAACTTGGGAGAAAACTGTCATTTATTCATGCAATGGTTTTTAAATACCCATTTGCCTTGGTCCTTATTTTTAGTTATTTAGAATCATCGATTACCTAAGAGCTTGAACCATAGAGAATGTTGTAGGAATGCCATCTTGCTAGGCTTCCTTAACACGTGTTGTGATTGATTAGATAACTTGGTTTGTATGGATTTACTACCAAGAAAACTAATGTGGTTGAACCTTTGTTGTTAGGGAAAGTTTTACATATTATGAAACCAACGGGCATTGAATTACTTATTGCATAATACTTGCTATACTACCGCAAGATATATGTGTAAGAATGCTAATAATATATACATTAGATGTGCAATAATTGAGTGGGGGCTGCTACAGTCCAACAATTCTTTTTAGTTGCTTGGATATTCAGATACTCTATCATGAAAGATCTAGACAAACTAAAGATTACAATGGGAACACCTGCTAGTGTTTGATAGGCTAGTTGAAATAGCAACCTATAATGTTATTCACCCATGGAACCCGGATTTGTCTCGTTGGCTGTATGGCTATAGAAGGGAGTAGCTTGATTAAAGAACTCCTTTGAGCCCATGAAGATACGACCCCATGCGATGATGGTAGATAATATTCTGCGACAATATGTCCATGATTCGCAATGTGACATAAAGGATGGACTACGACCATGTTCGGGATGAGATCCGAGCAATAAAAGGAAAGATGCGTTGCTTTCCATAAATCCTTTGTAAAAAGATTGATGTCAAAAACCATGATTAATGTATTGAGAGAGAATAAGTGAAAAATGCTTGAGAGAGAGAATGCAATTGGGAGAGATCGAGATTAGCTATATACCTACAGATGTAATGATAGTGGACTCTATTGTAAAAGGGCATGCACCTAATGATTTTTTGAGACATGAGAGAGAGATAAGGATGAGAGAAATTAAGGAAGAGAGAATGTAAGGCCTTTAAAGGCCAAGTGAGAAATATTAGATGTGTGTGGCCAGTAAAGGCCTTATGAGTGCTTGTATATAGTGGAACATGAACTCAGTAGGAGTGTGGTCTCGTGTGGACCATACTAAGCAAATGATGTTTGCTAATATTCGATTGCATTTAACGTGCTAGGTCAGTCTAGTTGGGAAAAACCCATGTTACTTAGGTATAGAGAAACAAGCTGATGATGGTTAGATGGATTATCCCTTAATGAGGTCAGAGTATGCTCAGAAGAGTGAGCCGATGGACTGTGTGACCCTTGTGTATAATGGAGGCCACGTCATGCACATTGATAGTCGTTTTCGAGAAAGCAAACCATCTTTCAAGGTGAAGCTTGTGCATGTGCGAGAGATACCCATGTGCAGCAATGGATTGCATCAGATCAGAATGATTTTGGTTTCACCTCCAAGGGGTGGACCTGAAATCCTTATACTGAGACTATGACCCCTTACCTATTGGCTAGACTTTGGTGACCCACTAATGATCCCCTGCATGAACTGTGAGTCATGACCCACTGGACTGTTTCTTTTGTAATGTTGAAATCCCAAGAAGGATGGTGCATGTTTGATTGTTCTTTGTTATCTATCCTCTTAAGCTTCACTGATTTTTGAGAGAGTGACGTTGCCTCGTTGTGCTTTGAGGAAGAGACAGAGCGTTCTCAATAGAGAGAGGGGTTCTAATCTCCCTTGCTCTGTAGAGAGAGAGGGTTGCCTCAGGTTTGGTTTATATAGAGCAGAGCGTGAAGGAGAGAAGGTGAGATAAGAGAGGGAGAGGTTGTCTCGTTGAGATGAGAGAGAGAGGTTGCCTAGTTGAGATGAGAGAGAGAGAACCCTGCATCAATTGCGACTACTCATCTGAGCCGTTTGGCTCACCAATTTTTTTATGTGCGAACCGGCCCCTATAATCACTTTCTATATATATATATATATATATAAAAGACCTTGAATGTAGAATTATAGATGCACCTGAAAAATCTATCAAAAATATTGTTTTAATGTTGAAAAAACCTTCTAATCGATCATCTCGACATTGTGATGTATGAATATGAAAAAAAAAAGTTTTTGAGTCCCAAAAAAAGTACATCTTGCAACACATTATCTAGACCGTCCATTTTCAAGATTTTCATATATTTATAGATCTACTTGATTTTAACTATTTTTGAAATTTAAAATTTTCTAATTAGGGTATGAAAATAGATTTTAAGATAATACTAAGAATTTTTTATAACAAATTACATGTTATGATAAATTTTTAAGGTGCACCTTAATTGGATTGTTTAAAGTTACATCCTTATAGAAACCGCACCATATATATATATAATGATAGAATCAACCAGACTGCTTACTTAACAATATCAACCAAAGGTTTAAATTGAATTTAGGTTGATCTGATAGTTACGACATCATTTTGTATTTGAATTTTTATTGTTTTTTTCTACAAATCCAAATCACTTGAAATGTTAGGTGTCTATTCTTTTAAAATAGGTGAATCTAATAAAAATATAAAAAAATAATATAAAAAAAATAAATTGACCAAAATACTTGAGAAACTTTGTGAAATCGTGATGTAAAATTTCATAAACCCACTTTCTAAATATAGGAGAAAGTGGGTTTGTGAAATTGAGAATTTTTTTTTCACTTGAATGTTATTTATTTATTATGTATTGAGATGGATGAATGTCATTAGGAGTTGTTTTTTCGACTAAGAAATTTTTTTTTTTTGGGACCTTGGAGACTAATCATTTTGGGGTTTACAAAAGGATATATATAAAAGAAGGATGCAGTTGTCATACAGATGCATTCGTAGCTCTAAGGTGCACCTTCAAATTTTATCATGGTACATAATTTTGATATAAAATGTTCTTAGGATTATCTCAAAATCTATTTTTATATCTAATTATAAAATTTTAAATTTAAAAAATGGTTAAAATCAAATAGATTTATAAACATATGAAAGTCTTGAAAATGGACGGTGTAGATAATATATTGTAAAATACAGTATTTCTAAGACTTAAATTCTTTTTATTTTTCATGGTCATGCATCTCAATAGTGACATGATCAATGGTTTTTCAACATTGTGTTGCATCCTTGTAGAAACTTTTTCCATAAAAGAATTGTGAAGTGAGAGATCTCCAAAAACAAAAAACAAAAAAGGTTACATTTGGGCTGCGCTGGCCCCATGTACAGCTGGAAAACATATTTTTTGGCCGAATGCGGGATTGGCCATTCTGAGCTGAAAAGGTTTCAGGCTTTTTTTGGGCTGGCCTGTTGGTAGCCCTAATTGCTCAGGTGTAATTGCAATGCCACTATTCCCAGGTGCAACTCCAGGACTCAAACCCCACTTATCGACAAAAATGTTGCCAACTGCAGTAATTTGCAAATGGCAAAAAATTTTAAAAAAAAACAGTGAGAGGAAAAAGACGAAAGAAAAAAGAAAGGAGGTTGCTGCTGTGCAATGGGCAAAAAGAAAGATAACGTTACATATGTTTGTCCGATGATGAAATTTTTTCTAAGTACTACCGAGGTAATATAGCTATCGCCATGTCCAAATCAGTATTTTAAAACCCGGTGACTTTCGTTCTAGATCGCTGATCCAGATATACTTGGTCCGGACCGAACCAATCCTAAGATGGTACGGGTTTTAACTAAATTCCCCCTTGAAATGCTCCACGTTCTCATTTATTTATTTTTTAAATTCATGTAAACCTTTATTTTTAATTTTTATTTAATTTTTAAATTTTAATATTTTTATATCCATATTAAAAAAATAAATTTAGATCACTAATTCGAACTTATCCATACCCATTTCGATTCGCTAATCCACGAATCCGACACGAATTTGTAGGTAAACAATCCACCCCCAACAGGGTTTTAAAACATTGGTCCAAATCAAGCTCAATCTATAGGGATCATGCGAGCTACTTTTCACTACCAATGCTACTATAGGTATGGCTTCTATCCATTTAGTAAGGAAAACATTACAAAATGCCTATATGTGAAGTTTTACATTACTTCACTTACAGCTTTATCATCGTTCAAAGTTTATCACAAAGTCACAGATAGCTGATAGTGTTTGAATTTTATTTTATTTTATTTTTTTATAAATTATAATGATCTGAAATTTTGTAGGTGTGTGTGCCTTAATGAGATGCACATGAATAAAATATAAAACAAATAATTTGAATGAAAAAATTATACAAAATACCCCTCTAAAGTTTCAAATGTAATTGTCATTTTATTTTGTCTATTATTTTTTTAATATTTTATTTTGACAATACAATAATTATAAAAATTCAATACCGTGAAATGAACTTTGAACGGTGATGAAATATAATGGTGAAGTACTGTAGAACGCACCTATTGGAGTTTTGTAGATGCTTCCATTTAGTAATGATAGCAAGGATATGAACCTTACATTTCATCATGGCCCTCAAGTCCCCAACACTAATCGTGAACCCCATTATAATTATGATATTTGTTTTTCTTGTATTCTCTTTCAGGAATATTGTTCTGAGCACTATTATCTCATTTGAGTTTCAAAATTGTGGGAAAGCAAACAAAATCGCAATGGTCAGTATTGGAGTCAAGCTGCATTTAGAGCATCAAGTTGCTTTTGAAGATCCTCGAGATCACCTGTGAAAGCTACCGTGTCTTCAGTTGTTTGTGGCCTTTGTAAATCATCAGCATCTGGAAGTTCCCGTGCAAGACCTTCTGGAAGACTTTCTGCAGTAAAGAACAACGCGGATTAGAAATAGAAGCTAATTCCAAGTTGATCATAGGAAAGGCCCTTGCAGAGGGATATGGGTATCAAGCGAATTTCCCATCTATCTGCTAATGCAAGCAGTGGAAATGTTCAAGGAAGATACCCGCTTCCAAAGTAGGTATGTTTTCACTTCTGTACATGTGGCAGACTGAGAAATACTTCGTTGTTCTAAGATAAAAGAAAGTTTTTCTTTTCTCATTAAATTCTTGATAATTCAAAAGGAAAAATTTTCTTTATCGACTAAAAAATAGATACCAAACCAGAATAATCAGTTTAGTGTTTGCCCCCCAAAAAAAAAAAACAATTTGGTGAACACATCTGCGAATTGTTCATGTGTAGAAATATGTAGCAGAGTGATCAGTCTTCCAAAATTCTCAATAATGACATGGAAATCAATCTCAATGAGCATTCTAAATATTGTCAGCTCTATATCCATAGAGAAAAGCAAGAGAAGATGGAGATCCCACTCTTGGTGGCAGTCGAAGCCAAAAACCATCACCATAATGGACACAACCTATATTCGATTGAAGAAAATAAAATGGATTCTGAAATATTTGAAAAATAAGAGGGATTTTATTTTTTTCATTTCCCTTGGAAAATATTTTAAAAGGGAAACAAGTAAAATAAGAAGAGTTTTTCTTTTTCGTTTGTTTTCTTCTCTGCAAGTGTCATCTTTCTCTTATCTAAGTGGTTATACATATTGATTGGAAAGGTTTTTGAGTGGTTAGGGCACATTGCACAAGATCTCTTTCTCTCTAAAACCTCTCTCTTTTATTTTTCCCAAGGTGTTGGGTACAGGGACTTATACCTTAGCTCTATGAAAGCCCCACAGTGTCACGGGATAAATAACAGCATTGTGTTCCTTGATTCACCTCTCTAGATTATTTCCTACTTTGGTTTTCAGTTTTCACAACCTTCTCTTCTCTCTCATGCACTCTACTGATGGCAAGCTCTTTCTCAATAAGTTCGCTCTAGGAAAACAACATAACAGGGCCTCCAAGACTCTACAAATATGGTGAGTATGTTCTATGGTTTTGCTCATCTTTTGTAATCAAAATACTACTTAAAGTTGTGGAAAAGTTGCATGCACAAGAAGAACCCCACCTGACATCATTCATAGTCATTTGAAACGATTTACATGGAGTTTTGATTTAAATATTCTTGCTGGAAATTTTCTTTAGGTTGATTAGAACTCTTGGATGATGTTCACAACAATCAAATCGATTTTGGGTCTTGCTTCTTTTATGCATCACGAGATTTTGATCCTAAAGATGTTTAAAGTGTTAATGAAATTTACAGCAAGCTGTAGTGACTGATTTTTTATATCACATGACAATTGAACGCCAACTGTTGATGATTTTCCTGGTTTAGCTGGAATATTAGTTATATGCTAAAATAGCTCTATTTGCTTTTCAAAAACCAAAATAATCTGCTGCAATCGGGTCAACATATTCTATTTCACATTTGATTTGGTAACAAGATATTGTCTCTTTCCAAACAAACAACAATGAGGCCATGAATACACAAAAAGCAGGCCATTCTATAGAGATTCCGAGTAACCACTCCAGGAAAATCTAGATTAAGGTGTAAGCTCCAAGGAGGACAAGGACAAAAGACCCTTTGGAGATGTTTGAACATATGTAGTGCCTGTTTGAATAACAATTAATTTCATCTGGAATCATAGTTGTTGGAGGTGGGAGCAGGATTGGTTCGAGATTCGCCAAACCGCCTTATAGTGGAAGCTCCCAGGGCTTATGATCGTTGTCTGTACAATGAACAAGACAAGGAGAGGGATCCAATGTCAATGGGTTCAATGTTTTGACTCACAGGAATCTAAGCTCTGCTATACAAAAAAATGACGTTGTAAATAGAGCCAGTATGAGTTCTCTTGGTTAAGGAATCGAGTTTTAAGTATGTCGTATAACAGGGTTCCTCCTGTTCTAAAATCGAGAATCTTAAAGTATAGGAATCAAGGTCCTCAACTGATTGTCCCAAGGTCCGCAAGTGCCATTTACCAGGGATCCCTTATCAAGTGCCCCTGGTCCTTAACAATGGATTTATTTATTTTTGTGTGAATAACAACAGATTAATTATGTAGCTCTATGAGTCAGTTTTTCATGGACCACTACATCTTCAAGCCATGACACAAGTTTGGTATGCACTTCCCTCTGAGTCGTTGGCAACCCATAATCCTACCACTCAAGAGTCATCTTCTTCGAATGTAGCCTCCTTTGCTTCCATTGTCTCTCAAAGGCTGGCTCTTCGAAGGGGCACGAGGACAACATGAACTACTACTCTCTCTCTCTGACTGATGTAAAAGTAAGCTTGAAATGAAAGCATATATTCTCATCTCACAATTGTAATCAGATTTAAGACTCTAAAACAATAGGACATCATAAATATAAGATTTTAAATGAATTATATATTCTCACAACTAAGAGGGGTGACTTACACAATAGGATTTAATAAAACAATGGGTCACTCTAGACTATGCCTAGTTTAAATTAAGAATCTAAAATAATCGAACTTCGTGCTATGCGAAAAAGGGGCTGGATTTTAACATCATAGAACTTGAGATTCCTAAATTATGGGAACTTCGGACAATGGCAATCTCTAACCTAGTATCATCCGTCAATGAAAGTAGAACCCACAAACATGGAACAAAAGATTTTAATATACCAAAACATTGGACCATAGTTGATGAGAGCGGGGATCTATTTCGAAATGAAATTGGATTCCACTGATGGATGGAACATGGTACCCTTTCTTTGGGAGCGAGATCCCAAAATTTAACAAACGGGGGCCCTACAAGATCCCTTGCAAGAACCATGGGATTGAGGTTCCGGAGCGGGATCATCACTTTACCCACAAGGTTCCCTTAACTATGTCTGGAATATATTATCTTATAAAAAATTAATAAACTTTGGATAAAGTTATTTTGTTAGCTGATAGTACATATCGTGTGTTATGTATAACCTTATTTAAAATATTTAATTTTTCAATAACTTCCAGCTATTTTTAGCTATTTCTAGCCAAAAACATGTGATGTTCGGCAAATTTGAATAGAGTAAAAACAGCTTTTCAAATAGGTAAACTTATGTAGAAGACTATGTATAAGTTTATCTCAAATAACTTTATGATGGACAAAACAAAACAATAGATAACTCGTTCTCAAGGGTTGAAACAATGAATTATCGGTGATAACAAGTACCATCCAAACACGGCCCTAATGTTCCTGTGTACTATCGACAAAAGTGGACTCCAAGTAAATATATGCAGATTCTTTTAGGAAGCATCCATAATGACAGCAAGGCACCATTCTAGATATTAAGTAGAATGCTACTCTTACATACAGCTGTGTAGATTTATATGACAACAAGGCACCCTTCTAGATACTAAGTAGAATGCTACTCTTACATACAGCTTTGTGTAGATTTATACGAAAACGGTAGTGCAATATGTGCTAAAGGAATATGTTCATGAACTGCCTTTGATGGCTAATGTTCAAATTGCCATTCAATTCCTCAAAATAAGGGTTGTTGATTTGCTTTACTGTTTGGCTGCAATATGCGGCTGTAACCAATTTTTCTAGGATATAAGCTGGTCACTCGATTCAGAGATTTTGCCCAAAATCATAGAAGCAGTGAATTCAGATGATGCAGTCTCAGTGTTGTGATGTCACGGTTAAACAGAGAAACTACCAAATCTATAAAAATAAGATGCTTCAACATATGCAATAAGATTAGGAAATAAAATTATATAAAGATGTAGATGCATTCAGGCATGTCTATGTACATATGGAACCAGAGTAGGAAATCATGCTAACAGTCTGTTTATGCCTACTATATGAAGCAATTGACCCCTATGGTATGCTTTAGCATTATGAGACAATAAAACAGAGCTTAATAATCAAAACTAAGTGATCAAAGAAGAAAGAAAGGTGACCTGAATCTCTTCCAGTAATTGTGTTGTCCAAATTGCAATCATCAATGACACTGTAAACAAAACACCACAAAGTTAGTTCTAAAATATAAACACCTAAACCTTTATGGGACATCCTCTGCCAACAGCTGGAAGAGAACACAGCACCATGTTTATCTTATTTAAATCCATGATGACAAACCCATCATAGGGTCAAGGTTCATTATTATCCAAAGTTGCCCAATTGACCAGAACACAAAGTTTATACCAAGAGAATGCCAGCATGATTGCGACAAAGTCAAAATCTGTCCAATCTAGGCATCACACCACAAGGCTCATCCTTTCTAACATTTTTAGTTGATGTAAGGTAATATGCTAAATCCATTTCAAATCCCTTTGCTTACATCAGGAAAAGTTACCAACGTTTTCTCGGTGATCTTGGTAGAACTATGTCATGATTCTTATCGAACTCATCTTAAACCAAGATGAGAAGATTCTTGGCATTTTGCAACACAAACCAAAAAAAGAAGAAGGACATCAGACAATCATTTAGTTTTAGCAATGCTGCAAATCTTCATATTTTCCCTCTCAACATTTGCTTTTCGTCCTTTATTTTTTTATATTTTTGTTCTAAAAACATGTATGGACATATCAGCCCTGTGCCTTATTTTGGAGTCGCCACGATGGAAACCTCCTTTTTGCAAGATAATATAACATTTGAACCTTATCCAAACTGAAATACCTGATGCTCCATTCGTTATCGGCATGAAGTGAAGCTTCTTCACTATTTGAAGCTTCAGCTTCCATCTTTGCTTTAGCTGCAACATCTCTAACTGGTTTCATTTTGATATACTCTTTCTGCAGAATGGTAATCAGCTCCAAAATCATATATCAGATTTAAAGCACACCTGTACAAAGCAGAATATTTAACATCTTGGTAAGAAAATCAATAGAACTGATGCATGTACCTGGCGCTCTAGGCAGACTGAGTTAGAGCATTGTGGGTTTGGGCGCAAATCCATGGTTGGGAAGTAGTCCTTAAGAGCATTATATCCCTGTCAATCAGGTATTCTATCACAGACTCGTTCATTAACTGAACTGAACATAAAAGTTACTTGGAAAAATAAAATAAAAAAGTTAAGTTCAGCCCCTAAAGCAGGATAACAAAGGTTTTCTCTTTTCTGCTCATTGAGGAGAATAACATGTTTCTCATCTTCTTTCTTTTATCACTTAGGAGCCATGAAAGATGAAAGTTTCATGCACGGTTTTGAATGAGAGAAAGAAGTGAGGAATTCTCTTTTCGACTCTGACTCTCCCACTCCAGTCGTTGCTATTCTCCCACTCCAGTCGTTGCTATTCTTTCTGTTACTTCGAAAGTAGCTGCTTCAGCGTTAGGCACTCGAATTTTCGATATTCCTTTCTATTTCTCATCGAACGAATGGCATCTTCTTCTAGAAATCCTAGCTGTTGCTATTACTCAAACAAGCATGAAATGTATGCTTGCATATTCGTCCATGGGTCAAATCGGATATGTAATTATTGGAATAATTGTTGGAGACTCAAATGAAGGACATGCAAGCATGATAACTTATATGTTGTTCTATATCTCCAAAATAAAAAAGTTAAGTTCAGCCCCTAAAGCAGGATAACAAATGTTTTCTCTTTTCTGTCACTAAGGAGAATAACATGTTTCACAATCTTTATGAATAATTCAAAGTTATTATTCAGTTCTATAAAGAATACAAAAAGTGGCATAGATCAGCAAATAGCTGATAAGATATTACCAGTTGAAATGTTATTACAGTTCACAAGAAGAAACATAATAAAGAAACTTTTGAGCTAGACGAAATTTCCAAACATGGTCATGATTCAGTGTGAATAATAGAAAGAGTGAAAAGCAAGTGGCATGGATCACAATTTAGCTGATAAGCTTTGGTAGTTGAAATACCATTATAGTCCACACAACAGGTACATAATCGAGGAAAATTTATGAACCTGCCTAAGTAACGGCAACAATTGCTTGCACTGAGGAGAATCTGCTACATGTCGATACGTAAGATGCACATATAGACCAGCAAATCTGTATCGACATGCACGTCTTGAAAATTCTTCTTTTGGATTTTCAGACATGTGCTTGGTATGTGGGTACATGAGTCCACGGATTCAATGAACAAGACACACATGTCCATTTTGTAACACATGCATGGGCGGGGCGCATGTGCCTTATGATTTACACATGTACCTTTGAATGGCAGCCATAATTTTTCAATGTTACACTTTATTATTAAAAAATCACACACACACGTGTGTGTATGGGATGTGTTCTACTGATCTTGCCAAAATTTTGCTATGAAGATTCTTAAATCAGAGTCAGAAATGTATTTTCATCTCTGTATCCTTGTAACGTTGCATACTACGAAACAATTAGTAAAATATTCTAAATTCTAATCATTTACAAAAGCTCAGTTGAATACAATTTACTATCATGCATTACGACAAAAGCTTAGCTGTCAGACTGGTAGCTAAGTATTGACTATAAGGATAGCAGCCAAAGCTGTAGTCAGAGCTATCCAACAAAAGAATGGAATGAACAAGTCAAAGTTTCCTGGCTACACACTACAAAAGGCAATAATGCTTGTTCTCGGACTGCACCAAGAGGAGGGGCCCTTTGTACTGCTCAGCCTCCAAAAAAGCAATGTGCTCACCCAGCTAGTTGATGCCAGAGATAAGGTCAGTTCTAATAACTTGATCTTTAACCTTACGGCTGATGCCAGTCAAGGACATCTGATGCAGGCTAGACAAGCTATAAATAATTTTTCCTACGGAACTAGTGAAGATAAAGAATGAACGAATGATACTATCAGCCAATCGAACTGGAAAGCTTCATCTCTTCCACATCCCTTCAAAAAATAAATAAATATATTGGAAGTTTTATTGCAATAGCAACAGAAAACATTTGAAAAGGTGGTAAAAAGAAATGGGAGGACAAACAATTTACCAAGTACTTGGATGCTTGTCCAAAATTAAGAAGGAATTTGAGCGCATTTTGAACTAAAAGTCCTGCCACGATACCCTACAAGAGAGGCAAAACACCAGTCTGAAAAGATATTTGATGCATAAAATAATTGAAGCAGTAAAAACCATTCATCAGGAGCTATGCAAGTCAAATATTACAATAGAAACACAGTCATATACGAGAGATTTAGAAATACACAGAAAGTAATGGCTATTTGTGGAAAACCTGCAAAATACTAACGTCTATAAATCTAACAGCCCGCATCTAAGCAATGTATAATGCATGAACTTGATTAATATCTTCCTGAGGAAGAGTTCTTCCACATTGGATTTTATAATGCACGAACTAAATTACATTTTATCAGGCTGATGCGGAACTAAACTAACGGCCCATTTGGATGAAATGGTGAAAATGAGGCATCAAAGATATTTATGCAGAATAATGAATCGTGACAAATGAGATATATTCCTCACCATGGTGGTTGGTAAAGATGCAGCACAAACGCCTTCACGTTTCAGCGTACGTTCATCCACTCCTGAAGCAACAACCTGGATAGAAAGAGTTATCAAATTTTCCACAGTATCGTTCCAAACTGATAAGATACTAGTATTGTTCTCTCACATAATCTACAAGTCAATTCTACAGTTCACATCAGTGTATCTTTTTGTGGGTTAGTTCAGAAGTAGGATTTGAACTTGGGACATGGTGCAGCATTTTTTTTATTGCTTTATCAGCATCGTCGATGCTGTCTGAACAGTAAGAGATAAATGCAATTCATGAATGTATATATCACACCAGTGGTTAAAGAAAAGGAAAATAGTTTTAAGATGTGTATCCATTGCTAAAAAGGGCAAGCATAGGAAAGCCCTTGGAAGAATGGCTGGATGATTGACTGATCCCCATCAAAAGAAGTTGGATCAAGTGCTGTGCATTATTAGGAGGCAAGAGATTACATCACAGGAGAAAGCACTATGAAGTTACTTAACTAACTTCCAAAACACACATTTGATTGGCTCCATACAATGTCATTTTATTTTATCCACATAAATTTGTTCCACTCTAGTAATAATAACCAATTGTTCAAAGTGAACTTCTCAAGGTGATGAGCCTGAACATTGTTGTCAAAACATCTCCATTAAGCCAGCAGCAGATATTGAATATTGAAAAGAAAGATACTAGATTTTAAAAATGGTGAGCTGCACAAAATTCCTCCGTCTCAACCAAAATGAGTGAATTCCTAACATGTAGGCTATTCGATCCAGCCCTTGACACCTTTCTAAAGATAAGAAACAGAAACTAAGAAAATTTACCATACTTGAATGCAGATAACATATTTTAATATCCTCAAATATAGAAAGCACAGTAAACACCATACAATAGTTATTTCTACTGAATTATTCAGATATATGCTGGTTATAGACATGGGATGGTGTTTTCCCGACAACAGGATATGTGCTATTTGCTTGCATAACTTGCAGTGCAGTGAATTTACTGTGTTTAGGAGTTAGGAGCTAGGACTTTAACTACAGAGACCACCATACAAGGGATGCTATTTAGGAAGACTAACGAGTTTCTCAGTTTTTGAAAAATATTATGGTTCATTGCTTGTCTCCTAGTGTTCCCTCAGAGCATTGACTGCAAACAGAACAATCAAACTAGCACACAATTAAGCTTGACACAGTAGATAACAAAGGGGAATGAACCTTGTGGGTGGCTCGCAGCAGAGTGAAGCTGCTGGGCTAGCCACCTATTGATTACATTCTTCTATCCTATAGGGAAGTGCGTAACTAGGAAAAGCCATAGGGCATAGATGTTGAAGTTTTGTGCTTTGATTTTAAACTTTCCATACGAAAAATGTAGTTCCGTTCCATATAACTGTATTGGAACCAGTGGGTAAGTCACACTGATACCATTTTTGCTCACTAAGAACACATTTCGCATAGAAGACCAGATCCATGCACTTGGTATTCTGAGTAAAGATGCGTAAAAGAGAGGAAATGGAATTTAATGATATCAAACACTAAGCAGTGTAGAAAGCCCTATGTCCACATGTTATGGTTAGACCAATGTCAAGCCAAGCATATGAAATTAAATGGCTGGAAAAAGAAGAAATTGTGACTCTGGCAGCTTTCGTGAGACGATATCATGGACCTACCAAAGGAGGAGCACATGCAAAACAAGCTGTTTCACCAGGAATCAATAATTGAATATGACCTGAAACAGCATCTTCAGACACACCTGCCAAAAAACATACAGTTTGAAAGATCATTTTTCCAAACCATTGAATAAAAAGATAAAGAATAAGTGAAGTGCAGCGGTCCTAGCATCATTAACATGGAATATACACTAATTATGTCATAGATTCTTTTATTATTATTATTATGGTAATAATCACAGGATTTGAACAACCTAAGGTTCAAGAATTGAGACATGGTGCTCTACTACTATTCGACACTCTTAAGAGTGTTACATGAGTCCACTGGGAATTCCAGATTTCCCAAGGGTTGAAGCACACAAATTATTTGTGGATCAGATTTCCTCAGCAAGTTTTGAAGGGCTCGGGATTCTTGAGGGGAAACTCTTTAGATGTAACACGGTGGAGGAATGGGAACTCTCAACACCAAAGGTATTTATGGATTTCACGCATATTGCTTAGGAATGAACTCAGTGAAATAGATAGGAAATAATGAATACAAATGGCGGCTTTGTGCCTCCATACCTGTGACTCACTCCTGTAATTATTTGAATTTATACAGATACAAGGTACAAAAGCTTAAAACCAATTTTCACAGTCATAAATGGAGACAAGCAACCTTGACACATAAAGAATAACATGTATCTTATGACAAACTGAAATAATTAAGCGACATGGGTCTCTTACCGGACTCCATCCATATCTGATTGAGCTCGTTGCAAGCCTGCATTGGCATAATAAAGTCAATTATAAGATTAAATTCCTCTAAATCTCAGCATTAAATGCTTGTGAGGGCCTTGATGGGTCATGTTTAGTAGCCGCTACTAAATATTTTATTTTCATAAAATTTTCATGGAAAAAGATAAGGAATTCAATAGTTTATATTCTCATAGAACAGTAAAAGTTACCTGATTTACGACCATGCGAGCTTCATAATTATCCACACAGCTCAACACTAAGTCAACTCCACTACCATTATCGCTTAATCCAAAATCTTTCTTCGTTAAGCTCTCCATGAAGGTCTCAAAACCTTTCACAGTTGTGATATTCAATGTATAGCTCTATGCATACAAGAAAAGCAACTGTAAGGATGGATGAATTTATCAAAAAAGGCACAATGTCATGGCAGGTACGGGTGTGTGTGTGTGTGTGGGGGGGGGGAGTGTGGATCAATTCCTTCTTAATTTTCTGAGTCAATAAAGAATAAGAACCTCTCACAGCATGTAAATGAGACAAAGAAACTACTTAAAAGAGCAACAATAAGGATGGCTAATGAATTCAAGAATTTCCAATCAAGAGTATTAAATTCCTTGCTTCATTTATTGAACTTGAGCTAAATGTGCATAAAGAAAACTCTTCTCAAAAAACAAGAAGTTGAATCTGCAAAAGTGTTAACCATAATTCGAACAAGTTGGGGCATTATGAACATAGCTCCTTAGGATATAGATTAAGACAATCCCTTTACTATGTTATCCGCAAAGCTCATTTGTCTATGAACCACAAAGAATAGATATTGATGAGGAACAAATTAAACTTCTATAAAAAATAATATAATATATCGAACTACTTATGAATTGCCTATACATGCCAACAACATGAAGAATCAGAATCCCCATTGAATGATTATATGGCTAGGGAACCTAACATTATTAGAAAAAGACCATTAAATGAGGAAGTAGGTTTGATATGAGCAAAGCAATTAAGGTTACAACAACAATGTCAAAAGTCAATTTGATTCCACATCCTATTTGCTTTGATTGCCATTCGTTTCTACCTACAAAACCCAGATGAAAGTATGGTAATTGTTTAGTTGAAAATCAATAACCACGAGTACTAGTCTAGGCAAGCCTATTTCAAAACACATGACTTACAGGGGGGTAGTAAATGGAAGCACATACGTGTTATTGGATTTCCAGAAAGTGGTGCAATGAATGCACAAATTTCGACTTCAAGTTTTGGACAGAAAAGAGAAGAAGGCACCTTATTTGTCAAATATGACGGTAACCAAGTTATGATTTGACACGTTAAAGATTGTCCTAGTCTCTTTAATCAGATGGTAGAAAGTACGTTATCTTTGTTGGAAAATAAACTCAGTTCTTTCACACAAAAAAGTATGCATATTTAACCTTACTTTAATCACGTTAAGGAGCTGCAAGATCCACTGCCTGCTGTTGATGAGGATCGAACTATATCGAGAATAAACTTAACAAAGAGATTTTTATTTGCAACAATTTCCAAGTTAACAAGATTACTAGAATGTACAATTCCAAAGTTTTATTCATAAAGCATGGTTTAAATGAAGTCTACATCAAAGATTTTACACAAGTTAAGCATTCTATGAGGCCCATAGGATGCGTAGCTGAGATGAGGATGTTGAGATGGACGAGTGGCAAGACAAGAAAGGATAAAATTTAAAATGAATAAATTCGGGAGAACTTAGGTGTGGTTCCAATAAGTGATAAGATGAGAGAAAGTAGACTTAGTTAGAGCGCCATGTGTAATGTAGACACAACACAACACCTGTTACGAGGTGCGAGTTGGTTCAAGTAGAAGGCTCAAAAGGGGTAAGGGGTAGGCCTGGAAGGACATAATTGAAAGCAGTGAGAAAAGATATGGGGACTTATGACCTCACTAAAGGTACGATCCTTTATGAGTAGAATGACAGACCAAGATTCATGTAGCCAATCCCAAATAGTTGGGAAAACGGCTCTAATGATGATGATGATGATGAAGTATTCCATGAGGCACTTGATTGAATGAAACCAAGGGTGCACATCAGAAAATGTTTCATGCAACATCCAATCACCTTCCAAAATGAATTGCGTGAGGGAAAGTAGAACACATGCAATAAGTTGAGAACAATGAGCTTTACAACATCTATAGAACAAAAAAGTATGTTAACATATACCTCTGCTATAAATACTGTATTGGGAAACTTTAGCAATGACAAGTAAAAGTAAGAGTTGCTATTTGGGAGCTCAGTTTAACGTCGTCTAACACTTGTATATAACAAGAGCTCCTCAAGGATTTGAACTTTGACCCACAGCAAAAGCTTATCTGTCTACTATTATCAGTAATAATAAAGAAAATATCAAGGCATTCTTCAAACTAAAGTAACATAAATATTGCAAAAATAGGTTTTTGATGCATTAGAAGGATGAGAAACTTTACAAGAGAAAGAAAATTGAAAGGTTCAATAGTTACCAGATTTCAGAATAAATTGACAAGAAATTAATTAATTCGTGCAGCCAACCTCAAATAGTTGGGATAAGGCATATGATGATGATGAAGCTCATGGCTTGTTTTCATATAACTTAATTGCTTTAGAAAAGAGTGTAATATATCTTATCATCATCCTTTTGTGTGGGGAGCAAGGAAAGGAGCTCCCTTCCATCCCCCCAACCATGAGCCATAATCTCCCCAGAAAACACCAGAACTCCCTGGAAAACCTCTCCAGACAAAAAGCAGTTACAGAACTAATGGACTCAAACTGGAATTTAGGCATCCATCGAGTAAACTTCGCCATAGAATTAGGTGTTGCTCCAAATGAAGAGCTGCAAAATTTTAGAGATGGGAGATAAATCAACCCTACAATTTCCCAAAATCCAAAGATTACGGCTACAAATGATCTTTGCAATTACAGAATGACCCTTACAGAGGCCTTGATAATGGTTATTTATGAATTGGGTTTCCGGTCTTGGGCATCAAAATCCATGAAGAAAAATCTACAAGCTGGAAAGAGAGGGGTCTGCAGCATCAAGATCCATTATTCACAGTTTCAAACTTCACAAAACCCTAATTCATTATGTAGAAGCGTCCTTAGCTCCCCTTCAAAGCCCTAATTCCTGTCCACAGGAGGAACCTCGGCAAATCCAGGTTCATTTTTCCCACTAATGGAGACCTCTGAAGCTCCAGATCAAGGGCTGGCCAACTCCCCTTCAAAGCCCTAATTCTGGTCCATCTAAAGACCCTCTGCAAATGGAGGTTCATTTGGCACCTTATAATTTATCAAGCTGTCTTAAAAACGCTTTCCTGAACCTCAAAATATCACCATTAAATCCCCAAACCAACTCTCCCCAAAAACCAGTGTCCATACCTCAAATGCAAGGAAAACCTCACAATAGGAATCCTCCATTTTCTTCTATAAATTATATTAGTGTAGAAACAATTGACGCCAGAAATGGGACCATTGAGGTCAAGAATGACTGTAATGAGTAATCAACAAGATACATACATGGCATGAGAAGGAAAGCTCAGGAGAAGAGAGTTAAGACCCGAGCTAAATTGTTTTTCAGGGACAAGGATGAGAGATAACAAGGTATATGGGTGAGGAAAAGGAGTAGCTGTTAGAGAGAAAGAGGAGGCAATCTTGCATTGTGCATTTAAGATAGAGAAAATGGGAAGCCAGCTCCAAAAAGCTTAAGCTTTGGATTCAGTTCAGATTTGTTTTTTAGTGTTCACGAAGAGCGCAGGAAAGTGAGCATCGCTTATTTAAAAGAATGGAATAGGGGCTCAGTATGGAACAGGATTCCAATAGAGTAGGGCCTTTCATGAAATTAGTTTACAATAGGGTTTTTAATTTCTTATAACTTCTACTTTTCATGATCTATTAAATTTTTATGCTGACCTTCAAAAAGTTTTGTTTCCCTCTCTGCAATTCTTATTTCTTCAAAGCAAACATTTTCACCATGCCCCAAAGGAAAAAGTTTTAAGTCTCGAGAAAGCGAGAGAGAGAGAGAGAGAGAGAGAGAGAGAGAGGAGGAGAGTAGTGGTAGGAGTAGTTGTAGTACTTACGTGTGTTAGAGAGAAGAAGGAAGGAAGGAGAGAGAAGAAGAGAAGATATGTTAGTTAAGTAGAAGAAGAG